AAACTCCTGCGAAAACACCGCATTTTGGAGCCTGCACTTTATCAACGGTTAAGAAAGTGCTGCGGAATCGCTGCTAAATATGCTTGTGCTGCGAAAGTTTCGGTGATTTTGTCTGAGCATCTACAGACACCCATTGAATTTACAACTGATGGAAAACGCGTACCCCTTGAAAGGTTTTTTTGACGATGGGTTCTTGACAGGTAATGCGGAGAAAATGGGTCCAAGAAGTCAATAGTTATACGTTCCAAGCGAAATGTGTCACCATGATTTTGGGAATGTGAGGAATAGATGTATTTTCAATAATATTGAAAACGAAGCTGTTAGAAGTTATATCTACTGCTCTAGACTTGCAAACCTTTCAAAATCAAACAACAAATTCGCTAAGACATCCACCTTATCGTGTGAATATTGCAAAGGTTTATTCGAATTAACACATAAAAAGGCTGTGATTTAGACATTTAAGTAGGTTATAGCCGTGATTTTCCGCTCATATCATTATAATTCTTCGAAAACGTGAGAAATTTTGGCGCACACGTTCTGAATAAAAGGGGCTGATTGCTCCAGCCAGTGTAGCTTTTTCTCATTCTTTTCAGATTTTCTAAACTCGTGCTGCGCAATTAGCGGTTGTTCATTCCAGAATGCAACGGATCACTGTTCTAGCTGCCTTTGCAGCAGTGCTGTGTATTGTCATGGGGAGACCAGGCGATGTCTTCCCTCAAGCAGAGGTGTGGGAAAACATCGACTTACATGAGGTGCTCAAGGATCTATCAGAGGAAGCCAAACAGGAATGGTCAAAGATAGGTAGCAACACTGAAGGAACTGCAGCACAGCGAAGGGAGGCGGAAAACGGATGGGCAAAGAAATTTGGTGTAGAGGTGAGAGGGCTGAAAGGCAGCCTTTGAGCAAAATTGGCTGCTCAAATCGCGTGAAATTTCTAAAGCAAAATAATTTTTGCAAAAGTTAGATGCGGATCCTTCCGATGTTTTGAACGTTGGCTTCAAAGTTAAGTGTGAGAAACTCTATTCATGATGGTAAGTGGGTTTCTTGTATTTAAGATGCTTTAACGCAGAAATCAGTTGGCTTAGAATTGCATATCATCTTGGTAATAAGCATAGCTATCAAGTTCGCAAGATAGATTTTCTTGCTTTGTAAACATTTCCACAGCAAGGCGTTCATCACTTAATTGAAGGCCCTGCTATTGTACCCCTTCAGAAATCACCTACTTCACCTTTGCAAAACCGTGCCTCTGGTCTTATGCGTAGGTTCAATGAAATTTAGAACCAGTGGAACGAGTTTTTGAAGAAAAGAGAAAGAATGGTTAGAGAAACCGCCGCACTGTTGGAAAGGCTGCCAAAGGTCTATGAAAAATATCGTGAAACGTGGAAAGGCGAGGAACTTCCGAAAAATATAGAGGAAAAACAAAATAAGCTTGCCGCTAAGTACAGAAAGGTTAGCTAGTTTGATATGTTAAAAGTGATTCTAATAGCTGAGTTTCATTCAAGGAGTTTATGGTCATGAACTTTGCGAAGGAATTGGTGGAAAGAGCTGAGCATAAATTCAAGAACTGAAACTGAGGCGATCTGAAATTTAACGCTTGTTTTTATCATCATAATGATTGAGTTACAAGCACATTCTTAAATAAAGCAGTGGGCACATATGTATTTTTCAGCAAACACACACTGCGACCGGAATGCTTAAGCTTGTGGTCTTTTACCTTTTCCTCTGTTTCTCAACAGCAGTTGAAATTTTGACCACCGGCTTACGAGCACATCAT